TCAGCCAGCCCTGACAAAACCTTGAGAGCATGGGATGTGGAAACTGGTAAACAAATTAAGAAGATGGCAGAACACTCGTCCTTTGTGAATTCGTGCTGTCCTTCACGCAGGGGGCCACCACTTGTTGTCAGTGGATCTGATGATGGAACTGCCAAACTTTGGGACATGCGTCAGAGGGGTGCGATCCAAACATTTCCAGATAAATATCAAATTACAGCTGTTAGTTTCTCTGATGCATCAGATAAGATTTTCACTGGTGGTATTGACAATGATGTCAAGGTTTGGGACTTGCGTAAAGGTGAAGTAACGATGACACTTCAAGGTCATCAAGATATGATAACTGGCATGAGTCTAAGTCCTGATGGTTCTTATCTTCTTACCAACGGCATGGACTGCAAACTCTGCATATGGGATATGCGCCCGTATGCACCACAGAATCGTTGTGTAAAGATTTTGGAAGGCCACCAACACAACTTTGAGAAGAACTTGTTAAAATGTAGTTGGTCCCCTGATGGAAGTAAGGTCACAGCTGGGAGCTCGGATAGGATGGTTTACATATGGGACACCACGTCTCGAAGAATCTTGTATAAGCTTCCTGGCCACACTGGATCGGTGAATGAATGTGTCTTCCATCCTACTGAACCTATCATTGGCTCATGCAGTAGTGATAAACAGATCTATCTTGGGGAGATATGAATATGCTTGCAACGTATTGAAACAATCAAAATGGATTCCGTAGTCTATTGCAGTAACTTTTTTTTTTTTTTTCTTCTGGTGCATGTGGTTCGGAAACACCTTTTGAGGATATTTGTTCTTCTGTAGTTTCTAAAACTGAGAATCTTACATGTTGATCAAAAGTTTAATATATTTTACCGGAGACTTTTCCATTTATATTAATTAAAGTTGATTGAGTTTTACGTCTCTTCGGAAGTGGTTAATGCCACCCAGCAAAAAATTGTCGGGGCCGAACGAATTTGGATTTTTTTTTTTAATGAATAGTTAGTTACTAATTGGAAGAAAGAAAGAAAGAAAGAAAGAAAGAAAAAATTGTCTGAAAAGGTAATATTTTTAATGAAAGAAAGAAAGAAAGCAAACCCTTTTAGCGACGCCGTCTAATTGGAAGAATTCCAGTGATTTGCGATCATTGTCGAGTTCGTGAAGCTCGTCGCCATGGCTTTCACACTCCATGATGGTGGCGGTGGCAGCGGCAAACGGTATCAAAAAGTGCAGACCCACTTATTGCTGATGACAGGCGGGTTCTTGTTCCTGATCTCGTCGCCGGGGCTGAACGCTACATTGCGCAGAAACAATTTCGTGGTTCCCATCTATTGGACCCCGATGTTCTTCCGCATCGTGGGACTCATCATCTTCATGGACTTTACCACATTCGTTATTCTGGTTACAAAAGATGCCGCTAGAAAGGAGTTTTCCAGAAAAGGGTGTTCGCAGCATAGGACCGTTGATTACACCAGTTAGTTGAAGAACCATTTTAGCAATGGGAAGAAGAAGAATCTGTTTTGGAGTTTGCTTGGTGGACACCCATATCTGTTACCGCGATACAGGTATTTGTTTAAAAAAAAAAGGTTATATTTTTCCGTCATGTGAAATTTGGTTTGATTCTTTGATGAAATAACTGACATTTAAAGTGCTTGAAGGTTGAGAGTATAGGAACTAAAGTACTTAAAGTTAGAGGGTTTAGAGACCGATAGTGCCATTATCTCTTTTGTTAATTGTGATAAGCTGTGATTTTGCTCAAATGCTTTTCCCTTTTTCTTTTTGGTATATGGGCTATACAACAGGGATCCCCTTCCCAAACCCCTCCTCAGGATTTGAACTTGAGATCTCCAACATAGAGACTCAAGTTTTTAACCATTAGGACATCCGTAGGAGACATTTGAAGTAGGCATTTAGAGTTAGAGTTGGAAAACTTCACACTGAGATATCATTTTAGGAGCTAATTGTCAATGAGTCAGAGTCTACTAAGTTTTGATGGTTTAGACTTTAGAAGCTCAAAAAGTTCCTTTTAATTGTTTGTTT